AGAAGAGAAAACTGAGGTGAAACGTAAGTTTTCAAATACATAAAAGATTGTTACAAGGAGGAGGGAGAAAAATTGTTCTTGTTACCCTCTGAGGATAGAACAAGAAGCAATGGGCTTAAATTGCAGCAAGGGAGGTTTGGATTAGACATTATGAAAAACTTCCCAACTGTCAGGTTAGTTAAGAACTGGAACAAATTGCCTAGGGAAGCTGTGGAATCTTTCAGTGGAGGCTAGGGAATAGTTGTCAAGTGTAGTTCAGGAACCCATCCATGGTCTAGCTCAGTAGGGATGTCTGGACAAAAGATGAAAGAATAAAGAGGCATCCTTGGGTTTGACATTTCATGGATTTAATAACATTTCCTCATTCTTGGTTTAAGAAGGTTTTAGGAGAAATAATTGAATCCTCTATTCCTGTCTAATACTGAACATTTAATATTACGCTTTTGCCTTTATTATGTACAGTGCTCTTCTCCAAACCCTTCAGAGGGAGCTTTCCAACCATTGCCTGGAGTCTGAGGTACTCTGCTCCTGAATTTTCCTCTTCTGCATTTTCATTTCAAGTCCCTCCAACCAGATAATTACCTCCCTGCTCTTCACTAATCCCCAGACATTTAAGCAGTTGCAATTTTACAAAATGGTGTAGAGTTCTCTACAGAGTTTAGTCTTATCAGATTAACTTCATAATTAGTTAACTTCTGAGCTGTTTTGGGTTGGGCCAATTGCCCACACATCTCTGTGGACTTTGCTTTCTAGTGAAAACCCAGTCAGGTTTTCACTAACTAGGTCTGGGAATGTAATGTCTATACCTGGATAAGGGTTAGAGTGGGGAGCACCCCATAAGCCAGATGATCACTAGACCTAGGAAAAGGGCAGGCATTTAGCTATGCCCAGATGGAGGATCCACAAAGCCCTCCAGATGAGAAATGACTGCCTGGTTGGCTAAAAGATCTGTATGTTTCTGAGAGAGTTACTTCATTTCCATGCTTTCTGGACTCATGGAACGGAGACTTCAGGGTAAAATGGAAATTCTCTAGTTTATCCAGTCCTGCTTGGATAGAAGCTGAGTCACGTTTTGGGGTGATACCCATGGACAGCTGGGGTTGTCTGTTCATCACCTCCACAGCTGCACAATGCTAAATGATAGATATTTCTAGGGATAAACTTAGAAGGGGAAGAATGCATTCAAGCTTTACCTAGAGTAAATTTGGATTCAGTTTTATTCTGGACACTTCCTAATATCTTTTGCAATTTAATTCTTAAACTTCCCCCTGTTCTTAAACTCTCAAGTTTCCTGCATAACATTTCCAACCTGTTTTAAAACCCACTTGAGCAAGCAGCTTGGTGCCAGAAACAGGTTATTTCTGAATCTGTGGAATCCCTGTACTCTCCTTCACACCATTCCTGCAAGCCACCACGTTGTAAGCACCTTCTTTCTGATCGTGGACAAAGCAGGATGCCCTCTGAAGTCCATCTGTGCTGCTCCTTAGTCATTTGGGGATCACTGGGTGATATGAGGTGTTCCTACTGACCCAAGGAATGAGACTGGGACTATTTTCTGGCATAGCAGTGCATAGCATTAACTACAAGGGCCATCATCACCAGAGACTTAGATTTCATAGATTGCTTTTTTTAAATACAGGGATCGCTAGTGTCTCTCCCCAGTCCTGACTGAAGAGTCTAATGGGTGACTGCATTACAAGAAGGGGCTTTTGTATGCACTCCCAGCTGGTGCAATTTAATACTGAACTAATGTAATTTTGTGACCGTAACAGAACAGTTCAGCGGTCAATGAGATGCCAACGCCACGCGGCAGAAGCATTGCTTCTGTTCAATAGGAAAAATTTAAATGTCCCCAGTTATAGTCAGTTTTACAATAATATGGGGAAGGTCATCCCTGTTGACTGAGTTTTCCTTGCAATGCTGTAAACTTGAATGAAAGTTTTGCACATGGTCCTGAGCACAGTGCAGATGTTCCCACTACACACTGGAATTCAGTTGGCCATTCTGTATAACTAGCATAACTTCCTAGTTATTAAACACAAGAGAAGATAACAAATGGCCAGTCTTTGTGTGCCTTCTCCCAGAGTTTAACCGCTAGTAGTGGGGCCTCTGAGGAGTCAGATAGCAATGTCAAATGCAGGGATGCAATTCCTGCCACTGTTTTTGCAGGGGTAGAGGATGTATGCCTCCTCTCCACAAGGAAGCCTGAAAACAGAAAAGTATTAGTGACACCTGAGGCCTTGCTAGAGGCATTGCTAACACAACCTCCAGCAGTTAAATCTGCAAGGAAGGCAAAGTGCCGGGCCCTACGGCCCTGTCTTGACAGGCAAAGTGTGTGGCTTTCAACTGAATTAGCTGACCAAAACTGAAAAGCTCTCAATGCTTATGTAAGATCCGGGCTAACAAGCCTGAAAGCATGCTAGCTAGCTTCTTGTAGCCTACGCTACCTCTCTAGCTACAACAGGGCCCGCTAAATGTCTTCAGCCCAGGGTGGATTGATTTAAATCAGCTAGTTAAATCACCAAGAGGCAAGTCTCAATTTAAATCACTGATTTTAATAAACTTTTCCATTTGTACTTCAGGTATTTTTAAAGAGGCACATTCTCGCTGATGGATATAACCATTAAAACATGTGGATTTACAACTAAATAGAGCCTTTACACTAGATTTGGTACATTTTTTGCTAAGAGTACACTATAACTATGTACATTTATTTAAGCAATTATATAGCTTATTATTTTCACATTCTTAACTGTACATTTAGGTATGTTTGAAAATGGTGAATGATTTGCTGCTTATTTACTAGATAATTATCTTTTTGCTCATGATTTGCATCAAGCTGCATTAGGATGGGAACTGGAATTTAATTAAACACACAAAGCAGCATATAAAGTTTATGGTGATTAAACAAAACTACCTCAAATGTTTTGGATACTTAAACTTCTCTTATCAAAACATGTTTCATATTTTCAACTAAACAATTTGTTAAACAGATGAACTAGTGAGTGAATTAAACTGATTATTTCAGATCAGCCTGGGCAAGTTTTCAAATATGCCTAAGTGAAAGTGACTGAAACTTAAGTTGCCTACTTGCCTAAGTCTCCTGAAAATGAGACCGTCTCTTAAATTATTTAGCGTGACCTATTGTGCCATATTTATAAAGCTTGATCTCAAATTAAGATTCCCCCCCTTATTCTTTCCTTATATAGAAAAGCAGCCTTTAGCTCACAGTTCTTGATAGAAGCTCATGGATTCAGCATATTTTATTATTTAAACCTTTAAAGAGATTATAATAAGTTTAGGCCTTAGCATATTTTATATTAAAATCAGATTTCATTTTAATCAGGTTAAAAAAAATGTAAACAAATCCAAATTTTTTTATTTTAAAAATCGATTGTTATCCACCCTGTTTCAGGTGGATAACATCTTAAAGAACAATAAGAGGGCTTTTCAATTACATTACACTAACTCAATTGAGCTAACACAATTGAAAACTCCATCCTATTTGCTGTCAAGCAGTGCCTGTTTGTTGTCTCCTGCCGCCCCCAATGTGTTTAATAAATAAGGATTTAATGTTTGTTATGCTGTCATCAAGAAAGAGCACAAAACCAGGGATACACCAGTACCTAACTGGTGAATGCAAATCATTGGGAAGGCTCTGGCAACTTATTTGTTAACACAGGGCTATAGATGAGATTTGATGTTACAAGTCAGGTACAGAATGAGAATAAGTTTCAGAGAGCTTTTCCTGAATTTAGCTGGTTTCCATACCATGAGAAACAGCATTGTAAAATGGCATAGTGAGCTTCACGTTCCTCTCAATGACTCTGACAAACTTGGTCTGTTTGCAAATAAAATGATGGCATTTCATATCCTAGCCCTGCAAACCCAGTCTGGGATCTGAGAGTTAAGCTGTTTCCCCCACTAGCTAATGCATCATCAAAAGTAAAGATTCTGCAATGGACACTTAGTTAACAATTCTGCTACCAGTGCACAACCCAGAAGAGAAATCAGTTTGCCTTCTGTTAGTTATGCTGCTGCAGCAGCAACAAAAACAGAGCAAATTTATTTTAGTAAAGTCAGCTGATATGACTCAGAATAAAGGGAGCAGATCTGTTGAATAAGGAAGTTCAATATTTATCAAGTAATTTTCTGACTATCACTTCATACATTTCTGAATCTACTGAAAGAAAATAGTAGCTAAACTTCCATTGTTATAAGAGTGCTTATAAAACAAGACTTGAATACTGAAAATGGCTTTCTATGCCCTTCTTGAACACCTCAAGCTTTTCCAACTCCACATGGGACAAAAACTAAGCCATCAAAGAAAGATAATGCAAACCCCCCCACCCCCGCCAAACAAAAAAGATGGAGATCTAGATTCAGATTCTACTAGAGAAATGAGTTAGGGCCCAGTGTTCACTACACGAAGTGGTTTTGGCTCCTGTTCTCATATGGGATTCTGTTCCTCCATTTTTAACATGCATTGGCAGACCAGGGCTGCTGCAGGTCAGAACTAGCAAACTACCATCAGGGGCACGAGTGGAGTAGCAGGGTTGAGATGCATAGGCAGAGATATAATGGGGAAGTTTACACTGCAGTTTCATTCCCTGTTGTGCCGACTAATGGTATTAGTCGGACTTTCATCAACACTAAATTAATGTAGAAACAAAATCTAATGAACTGGCAGCCCCGATGCAGGGTTCTCTAACTAGAATTCTAACATGAAAAAAAGGGTATTCGGGGCTGCTGTATTATGTTTTTGAAATGTTTTAAGGGAAAATGTGTTGCAGAACAGTTAATCTACAACAAAGTGTCCTTTAGTATTTTGAAAACCAACATTTTTTCAAACAGCCCATGTAGATCTAGGGAAATACTTCCAGCATTCTGATGAGATGAACACCTATCCATATTGTGCCTATAGTAGAATGTGTTGGTATGTACAAAACAGCTCTGGATCTGTTGTCTGATATTTTAAGACAATTTTTTTCTTTCCATAGTGTGGGTCACATTTTAGGAATATTTCACAGACACCTCCCTTCCTATGTGTGATTCCATGGACCATCTATACATAGATTTTATGCTACCACCTATCACTGTAGTGGATTTTGTGTAGTCTCTGGCACTTCTGCCTTTTCAAGGTAAAAACAATGCTTCTCCCACTTGAAAACACTTAATATTCCTGTAGCAATAATAGTTTCTTACATGGAAAGTATTTAACATATTTGCTGTCTTGTAGTGCAATTTAGCAGCTGAAATGGATGAGGACAGCCAACACCACATGGGCAGTCATTTCTTTGCAGACCACCAGTGGCATATGGACCACAGCTTGAGAACCTCTGGTGGACATGGACTGTAATATCTAGCCATTGCAATATTCTCGAGGTCAGTGTGATCTGACTCCACAGTATAAAGTATTCTGTGTGCTGGTCTATTCTGTTCAAGCTGCATTTATTTAAAAAAAAAAAACAAAAAAAACCCTGAAGTTTCATTTTCAAAGGTTGCTTCTTTTAAGTCTTGTGATCTGATGGCCATTTGCTTTAAAGTGAATCAATAGCTTTTCCGCTGCAAAGGGGCCACACACAGAGCTATTCAAATCAGTGATGTGAAAAAGGTCCAATGTACTACTGTCAACATCTAACCATCAACAAGAAATCCTTCAGAATGACAAGCAGGGACTAAAAAACATGGTTTGAATCCAACAGAATATAATACGCCAAGATTAAAATTATAATGTGGTAGCAAACATGAGAATGCCAGTGTTAGTGTGTGAATAAACTCATTTTTGAACAATTCAGTCTGATGCCAAACTTGAGTTTTCTCCATGCTGCCAGTTCACATCTCTCTCTGCCTCCCTACAAAGTACTGCCACAGACACATAGTTTGATGGCAAAATACATCAAACTTGCTGTTGCTCCCTTCAGAGAGTTAAGCTGTAACTGTACACTTGTATAGCAGTGGAGTTGTCAAACCCTATTAGCAGAGTTCAGTTAAATCTTAACTGTGGAGGGCAAGGCACCCTACACAATCTTCCAGTCTGATTGCAGGAAACAAAACCCATTAAATGGGACTGCAGTTTAACATGGTCTTCAGAACAGATTTTATATACAATTCTAGTTACAGAAATGGCCTTGCTGAGAGGATCAGCTGTAATCCCGTTGAGACACAGCAGTTTGCTAATACTTTCTGTCAGTATGAATGTCCCTGCTGGCTATTTACTGTTCAAAAATGGACTACAGTAAAAAATTAATAAATACTCTAATCTGAAATGCCTGTCTGCCAATTTTCCTGTATTTCATAAGGCAGGGAGAAGAGTGAAATTCTAATAACCATAAGCTTGCATTACCAGCTAAAGCTAAGGCTCCATTATAACCTCTTGTTCTCAAATATCTACATTTCTGGGAGGGGAGGGGGGAATCTCACTTTCAGCTGAAAGTTTCCAGTGTTGGACTCAGCACAAAAGTGGGTTTTTGGGAAGTTTGAGCAGTATCCAATTGCCCATTTTTACACTTTGTGAAGCTGGAGAGTAATATACATATATGCATAAGTCAACTGCACAAGCAAAACGCCTGCCTGAGCAACTGTCTTCAGGGCAATTTTTACATTTGTGGAGGAGGAAAAAAAATCTCTGGAGGTTGATTTGTTTAAAAAAAAAAAAAAAAAGAAGCATGGCAGGTCAGTGGGCTTTGAATGTTAGACTGGCTCCCATGGGTTTTAGATTAAAGAACACAGGACAGGTAAAACTGTCAATGGGGCATGATGAATTCCTGTATCTTGTCTCTAGAACTGGACATGTTTCTCACCGACATATGTAACATATGCACATTTATACTACGTGAGGAGGTAACATCTGATAAGGCAGTCAGAGTGCACTATGAATTCCTTTATCTGTCCTCTGACTAATCAGTCTTCCCCAAATCACCCATACAAAGAGAGGATGAATAATTTTTGCTTTTAAATGCCTCAGAGGCAAATAGGGAGAGAAGATCTAAAAAGTTGGAGAGGGCAGAGAGGGTGATAATATCTCACTTAAGACTATGCAGCTTTCAGTAAGCCCAGCTGTCTACAGGGCAGATCCCAGCTGGCATGAATCAGGGTTGATCTAATGAAGTCAGTGGAGTGACACCACCTTCTAAAAGCTGAGAATCTGGCCCCCCTCTCTTAGGGGTTCTGTACTAGAAAACAGACATACCCTAAAGGCCAAGGTGCTGGTCTTTCAATTAACTAATGAAAAGGTGCAGATCATTCCAGTATCAAATGCTACTTTCAGGCAATAATTTAACAGTACCAACCCTCTTTCTCCCCCCCCCCCCCCCCCGCCCCCAACTTTAGTGTCATTGAAACCTGTCATTGAAAGAAAGGTAATTTATAAGCTATACCTTTGGGGTATCGACTCTTTCTTCTTCCATGAATGCTGACTCTACGTGGCAGCTGGATGGGGGAAAGGAGAAGGCTTCTGGAGCTGGCGGGAGGCCCGGAGACCTCAGCAGCCTTACATTCTGTGAACGCAGGTTCACTGGGGGCACCGCAGCTTGTGTCTATGAGATGTAACAAAACCAAACCATCTTAAGGCAAAAGAGGAATCATGAACAATGAAAACACAAAGATAACTGCAAATACAAAACCTGGTATCAGGGCTCCCCTGAGGAGTGTAGATTTTTCTGCTTATCACTGCATGATAAGGAGGGAACCTTGGTACCAGTCAGGCTTTTGTCATGTTGGATAAAGGGAGAGACGTGCTTGAGCTAAATTCCTTCAAGGTCATTGGCATACAAGTGTCATTAACATTAAAAACATAGTCCCGCTCAAAGGTAGTGGGTGAGATTTACTGCCTGGTTCTTCATCCAGAAACATAGCCTCGCAGGCTTAGACTTCAGAGTTCATTTAGTATATAGAAAGATTTACATTTCTGAACAAATAGCATCTCTTCAAAGATGGCAGAAGAAAATTGCTTGGAATCTGCAGATGCTCCAAACTGCTCATGCTTTCCATGTTCCACAAACCCTTTTCATGGTTCCTTTCCTCTGTCAAACTGATCAAAGTTTGAAAGTCTCATTTTAAAAACTTTATTTGTATAAGAAATCTCAGGGTTAAAATGAGGCAAATGGCTATTTTAAGCTGTTTGTGACTGTCTAAAGATCATCCCACCTGGTGACCCCTATGGAACAAGACACAAAGGAATGGGAAGGATTCAGATGTGAAGTCGGGCACCTTTAGAGGGGACTGATCTCCTGGAAAACATAGTATTGAAAGCAAAGGGGCACCAAACTCCAGGCAAATGTGGTGAAATCAGGAAACTGACAATAGACTGGAACAAATTATCATCACAGTCACAGGCCTGATTATGTGCTTGTGTGTAACACAGACACAGAATGATCACATAATTACACCTGCATGGGCTGAGCAACTACAAGTGTTTACAAAAACAAAGTTCCAAACAAAAATATTAATCAGACTTAAAGAAATAGTGTAAACAAGGCTCTAGTAGCTTCTGATATTTTACTGAGATTGTTGATAGGGTAGTCAAAAGGCCAGAAAGCTGCACAGCCTTTTCTACACCAGGGCTCCCCTATCTACAGCTGAACAAGTGGTACCATTGGTGGGAATATTAGTGAAATTCCCTAGCATAGACACAGCGAGCATCCATCATTTGTGTTCCTGAGATTTCCTCAACAGCCTGAATGACTTTCAAACCATCATGTGATTTACAAATGTGTCCATTTGGGATAGCGGTGTCTGATCTGTGTTTTCAGAGACGGTACAGATTCTGCCTTCCACTTCAGGAGAATGCAAAACACACAAAATGTCTTACAATTAGCCCCCAGAGCACCATCACTGCTCTGATTCCTCCTGGAAAAGAGTAATGCACGAAGCCTGGTAGCCACTAGATGCAGACACATCTAGACACAGCAGCACTCAGTGTACAGAAGGGACCAGCAACGTGACACAATATACATATTCAATACCATTAAAACTTGACTGTATGAGTCATCTTAGGCCAATTATTTTAATAGGGCCACGTCTCTCATGTTTCCAGTTAGGCATTAATGGAAATTATAAGCCAGACAATATTTTTGCACTTTAATGAAACAGGAGAGCACGTAAAAGGAACTCTAAGGGAATTATTGGAACAAAACATGGTAAACTGTACATGACCTTTCTGTTTGGAGGAAGTAACTAGGGAATAAAGACAAATGGCAAGAGTGCCCCAGAGCCTGTACTGAATCCATCAGTTTTGGAAGCATAACTGAAGAAGATACTGAGCAGATAGCCTCCTGGAATGTAGAGGCCAGTGTCTGAGCAGTGAGCACCCAGATGCTGTTCTTGTGAGTGTTGATAAAATACATGTGACATCTTTGAGACTCAAATCAATTAGTTAAGAGGTATACTGGGTCTACTCACACAGGTGCTGGAAAACCTCAACGGAGTCATTTACGGTACTCAGCCACCTGTGCTACAGGATTGCCAGCAAAACTAGACTCCTGACCACATGTCTCAGGAGATCCTCATGCTGGTCTCAGCAGAAACCACATTGTGTTCAGTGACAGGTATACACACCCTTGAGGCACTAAGTATATGAAGACGATACCTGTTGCTTAGATATCACAATGGATCAGACAGACCAACTCTAGAGATTTGTCTTGGGTATGACCTCACTTCTTCTCCAGACTTAAGTGCAAATAGAATGCATAGCTCAAGAACAGCAATGGGGAAAGTTAGGGTTAATTTTCAAAGGGTCCCAAGAGACTGTATGTGTAAGAACACCGAACAGAATGTGCTGACCATCAGCCTCTGTGCTGACACAAACTCCTTTCACTCATCTCTAAATAATCCCCTGTAAGAAGTTCAGCTGCTCATTTGTGGATTACATTCAAGGTACTAGGAGCACAGAGGAGTCTGCAGCACGGCTGAGTTGATGGAGAAAGACAAACCTCAATTACTGACAGCAAAGAATGCCAAATCCTCAGAAAAGCAGAAACATTCCATTAAAGTAGTGCAACAGCACACTTTTCTTTTTTATGCCCCCAAAAGCTGCCCCAGGAATGTTGAGGGTGAAACAGAACTACTCAAACAATGAACTGGGGGTTAAGAATGAAACTCCCTGTACCCATTAACCCTGAGGACAAGTGAAATCATCTTTGGTAGCTTCAGCCCCAGAGTGCAAAGTCAGGCCATATCCAATTTGCTGCTGCTCTGAGCCAACGGCCTCTGCTTTGTTCACCTGAGATAGGAGGCAAGATCCTTCATCAAGAAGGACAACTAGGTGTGCGCGCACAGGCCATGAAGTTGGGGTGATTCATTGCAGAGAGTAGTTCTGATCCAGTCTGGCCTCTCCGTGACCACATGCCCTCTCCAAGCACAGTGACCCTAGTGCTCACAAAATGAAACAGGAAAATTAGCCAGCCATTTGGGAATTGGCCAGTTTCCAAGGGTTCTCATCCCATTGCTTACACAGACATACAG